ACATCCTTTTTACTGTGTACTTGCACAGATTATACAGCCGGCTCTTAATGTGTTAATTAACCTTGTTTGCCCTCCTCCTTCAATCAGCAACAAACCACCCTTACCATCTCAAGGTCAGCAGTTGGCTCCTGGTCAAACCACAAATGGTCCCAGTGTGGAAACAAGAAGTGCAGAGCGCAATATTTTGGATCGATCTGTTTTTCTTCCTAATCAGAGTGAGACAAGGGAGCGAAGTGCAGAGTCTAGTTTGGTTGATAGGGGCACTGCAGCAGGCAGCCAATCCACCAGCAGTATAGCTCAAACACCTGTTTCTGCTGCTTCATCTGGTTTGGTTGGAGATCGGAGAATATCCTTAGGTGCTGGGGCAGGATGTGCTGGCCTTGCTGCACAATTAGAACAAGGATATCGTCAAGCAAGAGAGGTTGTCCGTGCCAGTAATGGCATAAAGGTTTTACTGCATCTCCTCCAACCCCGTATATATTCACCTCCTGCTGCTTTGGATTGTCTTCGGGCCCTTGCATGCCGAGTCTTGCTTGGTTTAGCTAGAGATGAGACAATTGCACATATATTGACTAAGCTTCAGGTAAACATGATTTTGCCAAATCCTATTTGATTACTATATTCTTTGTAGTTTTGCTTGTACTCTTTTACTATGTCATATTTCTCTGCATTCAAAAGTTCACTGCTTTAATCTCTTTCTAATTACTTTTCTTGGAAAAGATGATGTTATGATCAATTTGTTATGGTGGTAGACTCGTTGGTTAATGCTACTAGTTTCAACTCATCATTGTTCTAGGTGGGCAAGAAGCTGTCTGAACTGATACGAGATTCAGGTGGCCTGACACACGGAACTGAACAAGGAAGATGGCAATCCGAACTTGCACAGGTGGCAATTGAGCTGATTGCTGTAAGTATCCTTACCTGCTACTAGAGACTGGATCCAATCATGCAGCATTTTGTTAAAGGGTATTTTCTTCTACTGCAGCGTCACATCTCTCGCCTAAATATTAGAATAGCATATTTTTAAAGCTGTTATTATCATTTCCTGGCCTGATTTTTGCACAGTTGTCCTACAACCTGGTTTTCTTTTATGGTCGATTAAAGCTTATTTTTTATTGACCTTGGATTTGATGCATTATTTTTTTGGATGTATGAGTATTCACCTTGTGATGACTCCTCAAATATCCAATGACATTGCAATTTGTCCATATCTTAAACACTTGAAAATTAACATTTCTTACAACAACACTCAAAATATATGGTTTATGGACAAAAATGCTGAGCCACTGTTCAAACATAATTTATTTTCTTTAGTTGCAGAATTTAACATCATATGCTACATATTAGAACTGATTTCATATTAACTTGCCATCAATTGTAGGATCTTTTGTTTTATGATAATTGGTGAGCATATATGTTTCTTTATTTAATTGATACCAGTTTAACTGGACTAAAGGCATTATTATAGACGGTTATATTATATATATTTTATTCTCTCTCTCTCAAACCTGTATAACTTTAAGGCTAGTGTCCCACATATGAAAATAACTTTTTTGGTTTTTTCTCTTTTACTTGGAATTTTTGGAGACTAATTCTCAGGTTTTATCTATGCTTTGTTAGATTGTAACAAATTCTGGGCGTGCAAGTACATTGGCAGCTACAGATGCTGCTACACCAACATTAAGACGTATAGAGAGAGCTGCTATTGCTGCTGCCACTCCTATAACTTACCATTCCAGGTAATTGTTCCTATGATATTTATGGATTTATCATCTAATTTTCTCGTACAGTCCTAGTAGAATTCCATTACTTCATCTGTTTAGACTCATACTAATGCTGTTCATTCATTCTACTGTACTCGAATGCTAACCAAACTGCAGGGAGCTTTTGCTGCTCATACATGAACATCTGCAGGCATCTGGTCTGGCTGAAACTGCAGCTTCACTTCTGAAAGAAGCTCAATTGACTCCTTTGCCATCCTTGGCTGCCCCTTCCTCTCTTGCACACCAAGCCTCCATGCAAGATGCTCCGTCAATACAACTCCAGTGGCCCTCAGGTCGTACCCCTGGTGGATTCTTCTCCAGCAGATCCAAGATTTCTGTCCAGGATGAGGATATTAAGTTGAAGTGTGATTCAACTTCATCTTTAAAGAAGAAATCGCTTTTTTTCTCTCCCACTTTTGCGTTGCAATCAATAAACCACTTCCTTTCTCAAGATTCCCAACCACCATCTGTCAGGAAAGCACACAGTAGCTCAAAGCCATGTCCTTCTCTGCCAAGTGTTTCAGAAACTCGGACTGAATCTATGATAAAAAGTTATCTTGATTCAGAATCGAATTATAGGACTCCTCTAGTGTTGCCGATGAAAAGAAAAATATCTGAGTTGAAGGATACTGGTTTGACGTTATCCGGGAAGCGATTAAACACTGGTGATCATGGGCCAAGATCCCCTATTTGTCTGACACCCAATACTACTCGAAGGAACTTTCTGCTTACAGATGCTCCTGTATTGACACCAACTTCTAACCTAAGGGATCAGAATGTTCGAGCAACACCAAGCAGCTTAATTGATCTGTCAGATGAAAACCTATGTGGTAGTTCTAATGTGGGACAGATGACACCTTCCTCCCAAGTTGGACTTCTAAATGATCCCCAACCCAGCAACTCGGAACGTTTAAGTCTCGACAGTATAGTTGTTCAGTATCTAAAGCACCAGCATCGTCAGTGCCCTGCTCCTATAACAACTCTTCCACCACTTTCTCTTTTGCATCCACATGTTTGTCCTATGCCGAAGCGAAGCCTTGATGCTCCAACGAACATCACTTCCCGACTTGGTACACGTGAGTTCAGGAGTGCTTATGGCGGAGTCCATGGAAATTGTAGAGATCGCCAGTTCGTTTACAGTAGATTCAGGCCATGGAGAACTTGCAGGGATGATGTTGGCAGTTTGTTGACATGTGTCTGTTTTTTGGGGGACTCTTCCCATATTGCAGCTGGTAGCCATGCTGGGGAGCTAAAAATCTTTGATTCTAACAGCAATAATGTGCTGGACAGCTGCTCAGGGCACCAGTTTCCTGTAACACTTGTTCAGTCATATTTTTCTGGTGAGACCCAAATGGTTCTATCATCAAGCTCTCAGGATGTGCGGTTGTGGGATGCCTTTTCTTTCTCTGGTGGGGCGATGCATTCTTTTGAAGGGTGCAAGGGTGCTAGGTTCAGTAATTCTGGGAGCGTTTTTGCTGCCCTATCTTCTGATTCCACCCAGCGAGAAATTCTCCTTTATGATATCCAGACCTATCAGTTGGAATTGAAACTTTCTGATGCCTCAGCTAATTCTACAGGTCGTGGTCATGTATATTCTCCTATCCATTTTAGTCCATCTGATACTATGCTGCTTTGGAATGGCGTTTTATGGGATCGGCGGGTTCCAGGTCCTGTTCATCGCTTTGATCAGTTTACCGATTATGGTGGTGGTGGTTTTCATCCTGCTAGGAATGAGGTATTGAACTCTGACCCTATCGCAGGTCTACTTATTTCGGTATTCTATTTGTGTTGTGTTTTAATTTGGTGCCAGCTCATTAAACACACTATTTTGTTAAGAATTTCCTTCAGGCATTTAAATTCTTTATAGATGGTTTCACTAGGATGGTCTGTTTGAATGAGAACAGTGCGATTGGAAACACTCTTCACTGAAACCGCTTTAGATGTTTGTATTCTTTTTGTTGTTTTGCGATGCAAAATGTCGTGTTAGTCTTGTGTGCATGGTTGAAGCTGTCTTAAGGATATTTGCTTTTAAGCTTTGGTTAATATAATTAACTTTCAACAGGTTATAATAAATTCCGAGGTTTGGGATTTGAGGAAGTTCAGGCTACTTCGAAGCATACCTTCTTTAGATCAAACAGCGATAACCTTCAATGCACGTGGGGATGTAATTTATGCAATCCTGAGGAGAAATCTTGAAGACGTGATGTCAGCAGTTAACACCCGTAGGGTGAAGCATCCTCTATTTGCTGCTTTCCGTACATTGGATGCCATTAACTACGCTGATATTGCAACTATTCCAGTGGATCGATGCGTTCTCGACTTTGCAACGGAACCAACAGATTCCTTTGTTGGGCTGATTACAATGGATGACCAAGAAGAGGTGTTTTCATCGGCCAGAGTATATGAAATTGGTCGTCGAAAGCCAACTGACGACGATTCTGATCCTGATGACGCAGAAAGCGATGAGGAGGAGGACGACGAGGATGATATTGATATAGACCCAATACTTGGGCCAGATATCAATAGGGAGGGTGAGAGTGATGCTGATGAAATGAGCAGTGATGATGATAGTGTGAGTGGTCTTGATGATGATGATGACGACGATGGGGATTTTATCATGGATGATGGTGTAGGTGGGATATTGGAGATTGTGACGGAAGGCGAGGATGACGATGACAGCCAGTTGGTTGAATCTTTTAGCAGCGGTGAAGAGGAGGATTTTGGTTTCTAATTTGATGTGAGATAGGCAAATTGTAGCTCTATTTAGGATGAGTTAGTATACTACATTTTCTACGATGCCAATATGGTACTTGAGACTTGTAAAGAGGAATTGAGAAGCTGATGTGGGGTTCTTTGTTTCCCTCGGCTTCCCTCTGAAATTGGGTTAAACACGGGATAGTGTTGGGGAAAAACATATTCAAAGAGAGATGTTTTCCTTTATCTAAATTCGAGTCAAGTTAATCTCGTCTTTATTCATTTAAATCAAATTTTGATTAATGTATCAAAATCATGTTTTTATTTAACAGACAACCAAGTTCTAGAATTTTATATTTAGAGGTTTTTTATGCTTTTATATAAAAAGCGTACTATGAAGGAAAATAGGTTAAACATTCCTTTCCTTTGTTTAGAGGCTAAAATAATAGGGGGCGAGTCTAAAAAATAAATTTACCGACACGAGTGGAGATGTACAATGGCGGGTGAAAAAACGAGCCTTTGAAAGAAAAAGAGAGAAGCGTAGACCGCTCCTCCCTTCTTCGTCTTCCTATCTTTCTCTCATCTTGTTATTTTTTGCTTGTCTCTTCATCCTTAGCCCTTCTTTTTCTTTCTGATTACCCTATTTTTTGCTCATTCTTCTTTTGGTCTTCTTCCGAGGGTATTCGGTGAATTTTATCAGATTAAGCATCTCGATCGGTTTTTTTTTGTTTCAAATTTGGTCTACTCTCTTTGTTACCTATATATTTCAGGTATCCGTTTAATGTGCTTTCGCCCTTTCTCGATCGGTTTTCTTGCTAAATTTTTAATGTTTGTCTGCAAATTTTTAGCGTGTTTTCGATCTATGCCTCAAGTTAGTTGATTTATGATGGGATCTATTATTCTTTTAATTGTTTATTTTCTTTATAAAATGGATTTTTTTATTGGGAAGGACGGGGAACTTGAAACGAAATGGGGAAAAATTGATTTTCTATTTGGTTGGTCGAAAATTTGTATTTGTTCTGCTTCGCTATTTTTATTAAAGTGAGTGCTTTGAGCTTCTGCATTTCAATCTTGGTTTTCAGCAGTGCTTTGAGGGGTTGACTGTTTCTTGAACAGATAATTTGGCTTGCGGACTCCGATTCTGACTAAGCAACCGGGGATCCCGAATAGTTGCATTTCTAGGGTTCACCGGCTGCTGGAAGGTTTTCTTTTTTTTTCCTTTTCATTTTCTTAACCAAATTAAGGTTCGGCTTATTCTTCGTTTGTTTCTTTTAAAACTGTACTTATGAACAATCATTGCAAAACTGGAAACAAAAACTAGCTAGTATGATGATTTATGGACTTGTTTTCCGAACTAGCTAACGGGGGGGGGGGGGGGAAGAAAAGAAAAAGGGCATGAATATCTGATGATTTATGGACTTGTTTCCCGAATTATACCCACCCTGTACTCTTCATTTAGCACAATTTAATTTCTATGAATTCATTTACTCAAAAAAAAAAAGCATTAGTCATGTCTTACCCAAGCAATGCTCCACTATAATCTTTAGCAGCTGATGTCAGGTCGTAGCTCTTAACCTTTCATTTATGTTTCTTTTAGGGCGTTTTCTGAAGTGATTGCAGCATGGAATGAATATCAAGACTTTGGTGCAGTGGAGCTGCTTGTCCCGCTTTTAGCTTTTGGGGTTCCATCATGATCGGGGAAATGGGCGAGGGGCCTAAATTTACTGGGCTTATAGGAGGAACCAACAACAATGGCAACAATTACTATGAAGGTTTTTACCAAAAACTCGGTGAGGGCACTAACATGTCTATTGACAGTATACAAACAAGTAACGCCGGTGGGTCTGTTTCCATGTCAGTTGAAAATAGTAGTGTGGGCTCTAATGATTCTCTAACACATATTTTAAGCCATCCTGGTCTGAAGCCTGTGAACCGCCACAATTACTCTGTCTCTGTGGGGCAGAGTGTGTTCCATCCCGGTAAGGTTGGCCATGCACTTAATGATGATGCATTAGCACAGACATTGATGGATAATAAGTACCCAACTGAGAGATTGCAAAATTATGATGACTGGACTATTGATTTAAGAAAATTAAATATGGGTATGGCTTTTGCTCAAGGAGCTTTTGGGAAATTGTACAGAGGTACATATAATGGTGATAATGTTGCAATTAAGATATTGGAAAGGCCAGAGAATAGTCCAGAGAAGGCACAAGTTATGGAGCAGCAGTTTCAGCAGGAACTTATGATGCTTGCAACGCTGAAGCATCAGAATATTGTGCGATTTATTGGGGCATGTCGTAAGCCTATGGTTTGGTGCATTGTGACAGAGTATGCAAAGGGGGGATCAGTTCGACAGTTTCTAACAAGGAGACAGAATCGTGCTGTGCCATTGAAATTGGCAGTTAAACAGGCTTTGGATGTTGCAAGAGGAATGGCCTATGTTCATGGGCTTGGGTTTATTCATAGGGACTTGAAGTCAGATAACCTTCTAATAGCTGCCGATAAATCCATAAAGATTGCAGATTTTGGTGTTGCAAGAATTGAGGTGCAGACTGAGGGCATGACACCGGAGACTGGGACATACCGGTGGATGGCTCCGTAAGTCTTAATATCCTTTCATGTTACAATATATTCCCTTTTACAATATATCATTTGCAGCCTTTTTTATTTGGTGACCTTTCCATCTTTGTTGGATGATTCTTTCTAGTTGGCACGAACTCTCTGGTTTTTTTATACATAAAACCCTTAAGATTGTGCATTAATGTATACATTTGTATATTATCTTTTGTATTCTGCTGTTTAAAATGTGTTGAGGAGTAAGTCCTTCCGTGTAATGTTCTGCTATCTTATGCTTTCATCTTCTGAGCTTTAACTTATGTTTTCTTTTAATCCCTTTTAAAAGATGTTGACTAAATATAAAGCACCTTTTAAATCTTTATCTGAATTTTGAATATGAACTAGCAGCTTCCTTTTAACTGATGCTTTTGTTTGATAAATGTGAAGGCATTGACTTCAAGACTGTTCGATTTAGACTTTTTTGAGTTCAATATATTTGCCCGGGATGCAAGGTTTAGATTATTCAAGATCTTAATATTTTTTGTTTATCCAGAAGAAAGTTTGAGTAGATTGTACGTGTATCACCCCAGAAGATTGGACTTTTGAGGCTTATTTCCGTCTCTAAAGTAGGTGTGAACTTATGTCATCTAGATGTCTTGCAGCTTAAAGAGAATTAGTTTGTAGAATGCTGTTCTTATTAAGTTGATATGTTGGTGACTTGGTGCTTATGTAGAATTCATTCATTTATGTCCTAAATTAGTTTGTACAGGCTGTTCCTATTAAAGTTTGAACCATTTAAAATTTGCACGTGATAGTGTTATAATAGGAAAAGCTAATGTTGTGTTTTCGAGCAGCATAGAGATTGTGCATGGCTTGTTTTCGTCCACTGCCATTCTTTGCAGGACATGATGTCTACCTTAACAACCTTCACCATGTCGTAGTATTCGACTGTGCATTGGTTTTGACTTTATTCATCATTAGTTTTGACTGAATTATCTTTGATATGAAACTTCTATTCATTATTTAACCAGTTGACTTCATATCCAAATTGTCATCTGCCAAGTATTTATTGATTTTTGCTTTTTGTTAGTAACACTTGTGTGTTTGTCTTTGCCCATGCAGAGAGATGATACAACATAGGCCCTACACACAAAAAGTAGACGTGTATAGTTTTGGAGTTGTGCTTTGGGAGCTAATCACTGGCTTGCTTCCTTTCCAGAACATGACCGCCGTGCAAGCAGCATTTGCAGTGGTTAACAAGGGTGTTAGGCCGGTTATTCCAAATGATTGTCTCCCTGTGCTGAGTGAGATCATGACCCGATGCTGGGACACTAACCCAGAAGTCCGTCCTCCCTTCACCGAAATAGTAAAGATGCTCGAGAATGCCGAAACTGAGATAATGACAACTGTTCGTAAGGCCCGCTTCAGATGTTGCATGACTCGACCTATGACAATTGACTGATCCAAAATAGAAGAGTGGAGAAATGATAAATGAAAAGAATAAAGAGGAGCAGTAAATTTTAAGAATATTAGTGTATGTATCAGTATTTTAGTGTATCGTACATGGATTCACATTTTCTAAAAAAAAAAAAAAAAAGTCATCCATTTAAAACAGATCGATACATAATTCGTGGAATGGTTTATGTTTTGCATTCTCTAACCTCAAATAACTGAGCCTTGTGCGTAAAAGTAGAATTCTTGAGAAATCTTAACACCTTTTTAAATATTATTTTAAAATTTATTATTTAATATATTAGTGATGATTTATTTTTCTCTATAAATAATTTTTAATTTATCATTTAATTATTATTTAAATAATTAATTAATAACACACCTGTAGATTAGAAATTTTAAAAATTAGTTTGAATTTTTCGATTTTCAAAATTTTATACATTTGAATTTGAAACTTGTCGTGAAAAGCTTAGAAAAGGAGGTCCTCAGTTTATCATATGAAGTAACAGGGGTAGTGATCTAATTTAATGTTAATGGACAAAATTATAAAATTTGAGAGAACAGGAATAAATCGTTAATAAAAAAATTATAAATATATGCTTAATAAATATTAAGAATTTATACTTATCAAGAACGACCTCCTGACAACTCCTTTCGGTACATCCATGTGGAACAGACTTTATAGAATTTATACAGCGAAACTCGTCCTTTTCAAATTTGTTGGTATAACAGTATTTTAGTTGTTTTTAGTTTAAATATTAGTTAAATAAGCCCTTTAATCCTCTTAACTTTTAAAAACTTTTTTTTTATTGCCCTCCCGGTTTTTAAGGTTTTTTCTTGACTAATATGGCTCGATCCGAGTCGCACACCTAGTTTTAGTGGGTGAGTCTCCCACCAGGGATTTTTTGCATGCACAAAGACTCGAACTCGAGATTTTACTTAAGTGATATCAAGCTGGTTACCACTTGAATTAACCCATGTTGGTTCGCTACTTTTAAATTTAAATACTTAATAGGCTATTGTTTTTAATATAAAATATTTTTTCCCTAATATTTGATCTTAACTACATCCATGTTAATAATCTTAATTTTTTTATTTAATTTAATTTAATTAAAGATTAAAAAATTATTTAAAAAAAAGTAAAGTTTAACGGATAATTTTTTTTTGTATTAATGAATTGTAAATAATTAATTTTGACCTTAATCGCAAATGAATATCATCACATTCAAATGGAAAAACCTATAAATTCTCACTTTTTGAGACATCATCGGAATCTGCAAAAGTAGAAAAACTTGAATCCTCCTGACATACAAAAAAAAACAAAATAAGTGTTAAATTTCAAGTCTTACATAATTTCAACGTAAAACTTGTAATTTAATCAACTTACCAATTGTAGTGAAACTTGGGAACAGTTGGGGGAATCTCCAGGACTCCCATCTTCCATAGTTGAGTGCATGGTTTCTTCAGCAAGTTCTCGCAACCGGTTGAGTTCCGGCAACACCACTTTGCCGAGATCCGGTCTATCTTTCCTCCTTAGTTCTGCACAGTTAAGTGCAATCTTTGCGAAGCTCAAGGTCTCTTCCACAGGCCAATCTTGAACAGTCGGGTCCAGCACTTGAGCAAAGCTCCCTACGCCAATAGAGCGTTGCACGTGGTGAGCCAATCCCATCGGTGATTTCGCGGTTATTATTTGCAGAAGCATGATACCTAGGGAATATACATCGGACTTTACTCCTAACATCCCTGTCTGTTGGTATTCTGGATCTATGTAGCAGAAAGTTCCTGCGGCGGAGGTCATCCAATATTGTGTTACGTTGTCGGCCACCGACGGAGGAACTAGCCTGGCTAACCCGACATCGCTGATCTTGCTAACGTAGTTGCGGTCAAGTAAGATGTTGGCTGGTTTTAGATCACGGTGGACTATGGGTTCGGGTTTAGTCTGGTGGAGGAACAACAAGGCTGTTCCGACTTCGGCCGCGATTCGGAAGCGAAGCTGCCATGACAGGGTCGGAGTGTTTCCTCTCCGGAAGAGACGATCCTCTAAGCTCCCGTTCGACATGAACTCGTACACGAGACAACCATACTCGGGACAGGCTCCCAATAGGAGGACCATGTTGGGATGCCGTATGCAGCTTAAAACCTCTACCTGTAATTATAGTTTAATTGTTCAAATCAATGCTCTTGTGAATGTGATCACATCACACACGTACATAAGTACGTACGCATATTGACATACCTCTCTCTGAAACTGTGACCTTCCATGAGCCGCATCGGGGCGCAAAATCTTGATCGCAACCGGAGTATGGTCAAGATGAGCTTTATACACGGGGCCGTAACCTCCTTCTCCGATCTTGAGAGCTTCCGAGAAGAATTCGGTGGCGGTTTCGATTTCCTCTATTGTGTACTTCCTGTACCTGAAATCTGTTTGCGCTAGTGCATCAAGTGCCTTGGTCTTTTCCGCTTGTTCCTTGAGCGCTTTCATCTCTGCTTTCACTCTTTTCTGTGATTCAAGTTCCGCAATTCTCCGAGCCGCTTCGGCCGCTTCCATCGCTGCTTTCGACTTAGCTTTCTCCTGTTCGGCTATCGTTAACGCAGCTTCCTCGGCAAGCCGTGCCTCTTCAAATCTCCGTTCTTCTTCCATTTTCCACAGCTGGAGTTCTCTTGCCTGTTGTCATGTAATTGTTAGGCACAAAATTCTAACTCTAGTCAAATATTTAAGCAGATTTTAGTTAACAATCTAACCCTTGTTTTTGCTGTGAGTGCTTCTTTGCAGGCAGTACTATACATTTCCATTGTTTGCTTGAGCTCAAGCTTTAGCCTCCTCATTTCAGCTTCAACATCATCCTGCAAGTTTCACCCGAAAAAGTAAACAACTCCTGTATATGTCATTACTTTGACATCTTTATTACTTACCATCGATGCCGATAAGTCTGAATGTCTGTCACTGTCCTGCGAAGATGATGAGAAATCATGTGGACAGCTCATATCCATCGAGTTCTGTCCATACGGCACCACCGACTCTAAGCTATGATTTCTTTCGTTGTCTGAGAGGTTGGACAGTCTCGGAGCCGTACCGGTGCTCGGTCTGCCGGAGACCACAAAGGTAATATCCATGTCCAGCGCAGGAGAAGGGAGCGCCGGAAATGGTTTGTTTAGGCCTTTCCGGCCAAAAGGTGACCTGCATTCATCCAAGATAATAGCTCCAACTACATAGATAACTCTTTTATTAATACATAATGGAGAAAAACCAACAATGTAAGCTAGTTACCTGATGCAATCCGTGTAATTAGTGGATTTAGGCGGCTGTTTGGGTCGCGCCTTCTCGGTTGCCGGCACGATTTGCGACTCCGGAGGAGGGGGAGGAGCTGGTTTTATGTTGGATTGGTTACGAATTTGATTGCGCAATGGGGAAATAGGCGGAGCTGGACGAGAAGCCGATCGCATGGATGAAATTTTGTTATTGGATATCACGTAAACACTACAAAAGTCTGGTGCATTTTTTGATACGCTTCCTGTGATATCCGGTGCTTTAAATCTACTGATACAAGTTGAAATTAAGAGTATGAAACTTCCATATACATTTTATTAATTTTTTAGGTATAATGATAAAATCATTTAATTAAATCGTTTTTTATTCTATTTTTATTTAATAATTTTAACCTCAACGTTTTATTTTAAAGTAAAAAATTCCTCATGAATGAAAATCATTTAACGCTTCAAAATAAGAGTATTTTTGTCTTAAAATGAAATGTTTTGGGTTAAAATGCTCTAAAAAGAAGAATAAGAGTTAAAATGACCATTTAGTCAAATGTTAGAACATTTTTGCCGTAAAATGAAAAATTAGAGACCATAATACTTCAAAAAAATAGAATAAACTACGGATTTAATATCTCAACTATCACTTTTGTTTCACTTTAGTCATCCAGCTATTATTTTTTTAAAATTATACCTAATGTTATGTTTTATTTCATTTTGGTCACCCACAATTAAAAAATTAATAGAACTATTGACGAACATTTTTTAATTTTATTAAATGATGACATGTCATTATCTTATGATAACATATCATCATCGCCGCTAAAAAATTAACGATGGATGACTAAAATGTAACCAAAACACAACATCATGTATGATTTTGAAATAAAAAATAGTTAGATAACTAAGACCGAATAAAAGTGATAGTTGAATATTAAACATGCAGTTTACCCAAACAAATATAAGCTAAAATGATTATTTAATTAAACATTATATCCGATTGTTCAAATAGATACATACTTGAGAAAACCTAATCTCGTTGAGGCACCGATTACCAGAACCTCGATGACAGCATGTGTGGTATATTCAATCAATGCTTTAGCTACGTCTGTTTCTTCAAGAACAACATCCTTGCATTGTATCTAAAGTTAATAATACATAACATAATTAGAAATCAAACCTATTAATGCAAGTAATGAGCCTGGGAATTAAACTTACATCCCTGCGAGTACAGAAGCACCGGAAGGGAAGGAAAACTTCCCTGGTCTGAGGATCAGGATCTTTACACACAAATGGTAAATCACCATTGCTGTCAGGAAACTGGTTCAACCCTGTTACGTACCACAATCAAACAAATTAGTAGCACGTACTACTTACAGTAATGTAAGGATCGTATCGTAACGTTTTCCAAAACGTACGAGGCGGAGTCGAGTTGTAGCGTCTGGCTTTTACATGGATGAGAACAATGGTTTGGCCTCTCTGCAAGAGATTGTCAACTGCCCATTTAAGGGCATGGTGGGAGTTCTTTTTGTCCTTGTCAATGGCCACTGCCACTAACCCTGCTTTTGTATTTCTTGATTCTCGCCTTTCCCCATTACAATTATTATCTTCCGTCCACATACCGAATCTCCACGAGCTGTTGCACCACAAGATCGAATATATGTACGTCCGTAGTAATTGTTTTTTCTGCCAAATTATACTTTTTTTTCAATTTGTGAAGAGAGCAGATTTAAACCCTAGCTATACCCTTGCTTGTCAATGAAGTTGCTGGTTTAATTATTCCTTTTTTTGGGTAAAAATATATATATTTTTAATTTGTTTCT